CCCCCCCCCCCCCCTGCACAGCTCAGCCGACGTTTCCGTGGAGCTTACTGCAGCAGAGCTCCAGAACGCTAACACCATGAATAAGCCGACGGACCTGGAGCGATCCACTGCAATTTGATGCAAGCCTCGGAATGCCAAGACAGTTCTTGCTGATATAATTGACCGTTGATCAATAATCCCCCATGGAATACCAAAGGCGGTGTAAGACGTTGTGGGAATCATGGTCTTTAGCATGATAGAGGCGACCTGGTACTTAACCAGACACACTGCTGCTATAGACTCAACTCACTATAGTCAAGACTCAGTACAGTGTCCAGTGTCCACGATTGATCTTTCATCAGCTCAGCGCTACACTATTACAGGGAAATATACTCCTCCCATAATCGGCTTGTACATCATGGCTTGTCCCCAGGTCTGGCAAACAATCTACTTTATTCCGTAACTACTGACATAGGAAAATAGTTCACTCTGCATACCGACTTTGCCTCGCAGTGGGCTTATGTGGCGCACCTGGCAATAGACGAGAAAGGATACGATGCCAGTGAATACGATACCAAGCAAGTTGGCCTCCGTAAGTAAACTTCTTATCATCTTAACGCATATTTAGGGTAAACTTCTAACTACAGGCAACAGTCCAGGGCGAGAATTTCGCTCCTGCCTACGTCAAAATTAATCCCAACGGCACCATTCCTTCCCTAACATCGCCTTCCCTTACGCAGCCTCTGACAGAGAGTGCGGATATTGCGAAATATATAGATGCTACTCGGCCCAACAGTCCTTCTCTATTCCCAACGGATCCTACGAAGCTGGCGAGAGTCGAGGAGTTGATTTCGCACGTCCATCAGGACAAGCTTTCGACAAACTTGGTCCTGCTGCAAGCTCGTGGCCCAGAAGAATGGGAGGCGAACAAAGCAGGCTCAGTGGAGACCTTCCTCGGCAATCGACAGGAAAAACTCATCACGTACGGTGCCGCAAACCCAGATATACCATTATATGCCTCTCGCACGCCTCTGAACGGGCATATATATGATCTCTACAGGGCCTCCAAGATTGGACCTGAACAGGAAGAGTTCTTCACGGCTACAGAGCAAGGGTACAAAGATTATGCTGCGGGGCTAAGGGAACTCGACTCTATGTTGGTACTCCCCTTCGCAGCTGGCGAAACAGTCACGGCTGCCGATCTACACATTGTGCCTTGGTTGGCTCATGCGATGTGGGCTGCTGGCGGAAGGGAAGTTGGCGACTTTGAACCCCTCAGAGCACGAGTCAAGAAATCCGTTCCCGATTTCGAATTCGGCGAGAATACGAGGAGGTGGTGGGCTAATATCTCTGCCAGGGAGAGTTTCAAGAAGAATTACCCCAAGCTTCACTGAGCTTTCGCTTGTTTCTTTTCATCTCCCTCTATATTGACACTATATAATAACTGAGAGGGAAAATATAAGGCTGTCTCTCCACATGCACACACTGTCTCCCACCACACAATGCCGCTCGGTGCAAAGTGGTCTGCTGCGCGACAGGACTCCCGCTATTCGGAGAGTGCGGAGACTGCCGAGAACCGACTCCTGGTCATTGTTGAGTCACGTTCTCTTTGCGTCGATAATGACGATCTCTCTCGCTGCATGTGCAGGAATTAGTCACATGCTATGGCACCGTGAGAACAGGGCGACGATCGGTGTACCGTGAGGTCCAATGCGTTAAGGACAGACGAAGGTAAATGATCCCAACGGTCAGCGTCTTCTGAATTCTCTCCGCGACGCATATGTGACTGAGGTAAGTGGTCGAGTGTCTGCCTGGTGCTAATAATGTCGCAGCTACAGGTTTGTAGTCGAGAGAATTATACATCGACCTCTACAATCCGCTACCTTGCGTAACTGCTCGGAAATTTGGATAAATACTTATATCTGATACGCAAAACCGCTTCTTGGTATAATGTTTTTGGTAATGTGATTGCGATGTGAAAGCCCAACTTGGATATCATTGACCTCTATACTCCTCGTCAATTTGTACAAGTGCCTCGATTCCTCCTTTCTCTACAACCTCAGTGTCTACCACAAAGGTTGCTAGCAACTTAGCAGGTTCCGTAGAACTATAGTTGTCGCTTACTTTATGATGACATCCTGGTGCCTCAAAGAATGTCCCGCCCGCCTCAACTACGAATGTCGGGTCATTGTTCATCTTATTCAGCAAGGTACCTTCGAGAACAAGGGCCGAGACTGAAGCTCCGGCATGTCGATGCGGCGGGGTAGAGGAGTTTGGCGGAAATGTCACTAAGAGACTAACTGAGGACATCCCAGGACAATTGGGCAACTTGTTGTTGAAGGCAAGCTCAGTGATCGGCCGCGGCCGGCTGTTGACGTTCTATTAGCTGCGGCATCTTCCATCGGCGGTACGTTCTGAGCTTTGCTTGCATACCGGCGATCATACGGTGGTGGATCTGGCACGACTCTGCTAGCCATTGCAAATAGGTGAAAAAGCTGGTATGTGAGAAATGCTTGCTGTGTACACCGACAGTAGCAACGATCTGCTACCGCAAACCGTTGACTGGACTCATGGATGCCGGATATGTGGGTGAATAAATATAAACGGTGTCTTGTTAAACAATGGTGTAGCGAACGTCTACTAATCGTACCAGAGATGATTTACATCGGAAGAGTCGGGCTCAGTCGCCTCCTGGTTAACTTGGGTCAAGCGGTCGGGTCGGCGTTCGGGTCGGACACGTGCTGACTGTAAATATGCATATCGTCCTTTCTTGTTTAAGGAAACGATAACTCACGGATGATTAGCCGCACGTAGGGTCTGGTGGATTACCAAGGCGCACACCCTTGTCCAAGGCGGCCCCGGATGCTCGGAGGTGTGGATTGTCGATTTGCAGACGGGGCGGGGCGGCACATCCGGGGGCCGGGGCTAGGTCAAGTGCCCCCAGTTCTATCTTCGAATGGCGGGGTTTCCAGCCGCAGATCCTAACCGACCTGGGATGGTGCCACAATGCACAGCCAGGCTTCGAGCACTGCGACAACGGGCTGGCTTTCCACGGCGGCTGGCCTCGGCGTTGTCCGGGAAAAGGGATTGCTGCTGCCATGACCGCGAAAAGAATCCAGAAGCAATACTGACGTGGCTGCTTAATGTAAAACTTTAGCATGTGGTGATGCCAGCCAACTAACGGACCCGCCACTCGCCCCGCTAGCGCTGTCAACCTAAAAAGTTGCGTCCAGCTGCGTGCCCCATCAAAGCCGTCAAAGTCGCCTACAATAGCCGAGAGAAGTCGCTAGTTGCCTTCGCAGCAAGACGATTCATGCGTTGGACGCATGGGAAAATTCATGTCGCATAATTTCGCTGATTGAGCAGGGTAGTTTGGAATCATTGAGATTGCCTGACAGGTTGTAAAGATTCCGGGGCCTTCGGCAGTGCCTGTTCCTCACCGAGACCTCCCACGATTGACGCCTCCAAATCCTCTTAAAACTGGGCATGATTTGCGGCATTTTGCACCTTTGAATGGGATACCGAAAAGCATAAAAGCCTTCACACCTCCCATGAACTGGCTTGACAACTGCAAGTCCCGAAATACAACCACAGCAATCGTCAAGCGCTGCAACTTTGCACGATTTCAGATTTTTTGCACTTCTCTACCATGCAGGCGATACGCCATCACCCACCAGGCGGCACAGAAAAGCTCAAATTCGGCCGGGAAGACATACCAGATATCAAAGATGACGAAGTTCTTGTGAAAGTCCACGCCGCTAGCGTCATCTGGATGGAGCTCTACTGGGACATCTACAAGAAGGAAGATGGTACATATAAAGCCCCTATCCTTGGGGAGGACTACTCAGGCACTATTGCGAAGGTTGGACCTAAGGTACCCCCGCATAGCGGCCTGACAATCGGCTCCGAAGTAATGGTCTTCATGAGCAAGGCATTCCCTACCGACAGAAGCATTGATGGTGGCATGGCTGGCTATGCCAAAGCCCACTTCTCTAAGATGGTCCGTTCGCCTCGAAGTCTAAGCCTCACCGATGCTGCGTCGGTGCCACTTTCCGCTCTCACCGCGTGGCAGGGCCTGTTCGACCATGCAAAGCTTGCCGCTGGACAGACCGTGTTAATTCCGGGAGCGGCCGGTCCGACAGCAATCTGGGCTGTGCAGCTCGCCAAGATGGTTGGGGCTCGCGTTATTGGCACGGCATCGTCTAAGCAGAGTTTCGAGCTCCTCGAATCGTTCGGGGTGGACAAGGTCCTGAACTACAAGGAAGTGGAGCTGGATTCAATTCTTGAGAATGTCGACGTGGTATTCGACACCGTTGGCGGCGATACTGCGAAGAAGGCTCGGAAGGTGCTAAAGAAAGATGGCGTGCTGCTTTATCTTGTGGACCCATCAGGCCTTGATCTGAACAAAGAGCCTGGGCCCAGGGTGGACTTCTTCATTGTTGACATGAATGCGGAGCAGCTAGGCAAGATTGGAAGTTTGATCGACCAGGGGAAGCTCAGACCGGTCGTTGACTCTGTCTTTGAGTTCAACGATGTGGTAAAGGCATTCAAAAAGGGCGAAACAGGTCACGCTCATGGCAAGATTTTGCTCAGAGGGCCTCATGTATGAAAGGGGTCTGCATCTGCGGGGACCTAGCTAAGTAATAACTGGTCTTTAGCAGTGCCCACTACGGCTGATTGCTGTAAGTACCGAATTCTCGCACGCATTCATCGCCCTGGTCTCTTGGGCAGGGCTGGCGGGAATAATTCGGCTCCGGAAATGACATGTCTCTCACCGTACCGTGCCTTTGGCAGAACCCACCACTGTGAAGGGCGAACCTTCTATCGTCCCCAGACCGCCCCAGCTTTCACTACTGTCGTTATGGGATGTTGATTGTCAATGACTGTAGTGACGGGAGATGTGCCTTGTGGCGTCACAACTATTGCTTATGCTCAACAGCAGTTCACTCTGATGACAGCGACGTTAGGTGGTCTCCATCACACCCTCAATACGGATTGTCCCAACTCGACACCATCTTCAGGAGTGTGCCATATCAACGTGACGCGAGGCTCTGGTGATGAGAGCATTCCCTACGGAGCCTCGCGGATGGCATCAGGCTCAGCTTACCGGCGAGATTCTGTGGCTGCTCACTTAGCTCGCGGTTGGTAGGTGCCGTAGCCGTACAACCGTGCTGCTAGTAGTCAACGAAAGGAACGGTACGACGTGGCGTACCCCTAAAGGGCTAGCCGGCGGCATAACTGACAACTTGCAGCACCACAACAGAAGTTGATGAGTACATGTCCAACCCTCCGATCAATCAGAATGTAAATGACACACCGGAAAAAAGGCGGTCGCATCACTAGGACGCAAACTGAACTCTCGCGACGTCTTCCGCGATGGAACGATACATAGATTTAACTACAGTGTCGACTAACGGCGAAAGCAAATTCGATACCGCTCCAAGCGGGACTGGGGCGATACATCCCGATGTCGGCGAGCGATAGATTAGGGGCTGATGAAGTGCGGCAATATATGGTACCGTAAATCCGATCGCAAGTATGGTTAGATAGGTCCTCGGTCTTAGCTGTGATATGAGACGAAGTCATGGGGATCGTATGTGAGATGTTGTGGGGGCGAGTGCTGAGTACATATATGTCGCGGCTTCCAAATCGGAGGCCATATGCGCGACGCGTCTATTAGGGCCTGGTTTCCTTGCTATGAAAGCCGATGTAGACAGTTGGGTCATTCAGACTCGTTACGAGGTTCGGGCCCTGTATTGACCGGATATCGGACTCGATGACATCCAGGTTTTGCATAGATAGAATGTCGCCTTCCATGGCATACTCGCTCTCAACGAACCCCTGATTTAACACGTTGAGCCAGTAAAGCCCGTCATCAGGGTACTCGAAATGTATACTGCCGAGTTCGCTGCTCGGCGGCAAGCCAAACCATTTCTGGGGCTTCTGCTCATCCCGCTTAAGGAGAGAGAAGGAAGCGTCGTTGATGTCTATGGGCCGGTCCGGCTCGGAGCCGGTCGCTACCGAGATAACCGAGTGCAGCGACATAGCGACGCCTCTGTCGTTCCCAGGGGGATTGGACTGATGATCGAAACGTGGCGAAATACCGTCGATGTTGTAGCTTGATTGCTCAAATTCACACGATAGGGTGTCGCCGTCAAATTCCAGTTGAGACGACTGCTGCCGCTTTGGCTGTGGCTTGGTCTGCTTTTCTTCCAGCTGGCAGGCCAGCTCTGCCATTCCGGCCTTGTCCTCGGGAAACACTGAATGTATTGGTAGGTCAATATCTCCGTTGGGACAGATGCATCCGAGCATCTCGGCAATGTTGTGTATGACGGGCTGTCCGCAGGGATTGAGCCCTGGCTCGCTGAATGTCCAGGCCTGTGAGTTGCGGACCATAGTATAAAGCTTATCGATAGTAGCCACAAGTGCTAGTTGAGTGTTCTCGAGCACTTATATTCCACTTTCTTGCGGATACGCGCTGTGCAGACAATAGCGTCGTCCCTGCAACGCGTGCACGGGAATTCAAGATCGCACTGTAGGCTATTAGGACACTGACCCTACTCCCTATATCCCCGAGTAATTAGGGTTGGCTGGTTGGATACCCTGGTTTTCTTCATCCTACACCGCTCGCAAGCCCTTAATACGCGCTTACGTCGGCCATCCCCGCCAGTAGTGTGGGTGCTGTGACTGTTCAGGCTGGGTAGGGTGATCCCCGAGGTCTCTTGTTTAAAGTCGAGTTCTGAGGGCTTACTGGCTTTCCTGCGCGATGTTGACGAGATGGTTTTTCCCCTTTTCCTCAGCTGGTCGCCTCCCACCGGCATCGTCTGTATACCATGTGACGCCATGGCAGGCACATCTAGGTCGCAGGGCCGTGAGATCGGGATATAGTAGGAGCTTTTGAGTGTGGTAGGCTCGTAGTCTGACGCATGGAACAGCAGAAGCCTTCTGCATGACACACCCACATAGGATGCTGCTCAGTAGTGCTGATCTAATATAGGTGTTAGGGTTAGGGAAAGAGACAGAGAACGTGTTTTATAACATTAAAATATGAGAGGCCAGGGGGCGTAAGGAAGGCAGTAATGAGTTAGTGCCGCGCAATAATAAGTGCGAGATTGATCTAGGGGCATGCCGGTCGAATAAATACAAGAATATCAATTTGGGGCAGCTCGACGTTCGGAACTAGTTGACGGACAACTCGGAAGCCTGGTCATGTAAATACGGGTCGGGATGATGGACAATGCGTCAGACTGAAGGCCATAGTTCCCGTCTTGTGCGAGGGCCGGCTCCGGGCGCCAAGGCGGGTCTTAGGGGTTTAACCAAGTTTTGCCGTTCCGTCCGTGTGTATATGCTTCCCTTAATGTTCCCGCCAATGATTGCCTTCGTCTGGTCCACGCAACTACCTCTAGTTTCCGATGGTTAAGGGAGGAGGGGCGGATGGATATGATAATTCGGCTTAGGACTAAAGGTAACGCTGATTCAGATACTTGGCATTTTTGGCGGGCATGTAAGCTTGGAGAAACATGGGGATAGTCCGGGGACAAGAAGTCTCACAGCGACCACATTCCGCCAAGTGGCGGGCCGATGCAGATAAACAGGTCACCGCTACGTATCAGTGGACTACCGCGAGTACATACCCCTTACAGCATAGCCATAGAGAGGCCATTGTCTACGCGGACCTATAGTGAAAAACGCTGCTATCGCTTCACCCGGCGGGGTGGAGCCCGGCTTCATGGCTGTGCTAGAGTCGGACATCGAATCGACCGTGACGGCAAAAATCAAGTTTGTCGCATGTCATCACTACCGCGAGGCGAAATAGATATCAATGATTCCACATCACCAGCGCAACGATTACAAACCTCCATGTTCAAACCGCTTTTACGAGTGACATGCGTTTTCCCATGCATGAACTTCCTGCCCAAAGACACGATAGCGCCACGGAACGTGTCGCTTCGCTCCAGGCCAATTCGCCCCGGCAGGCAAGCATTGGCGTCGTAGGTAGGTTTAACCTTATGTTAGAGTTGTGCTATATTCAACCGACCGCTCCGGGGCAGCTTCTGATTCCTCCGTGATTCGGGTGGTGGGAAGAACCCGCCACCGCCCGCGTCCTGCTCTACGTTTCGTTGCGGCTCAATCGGGCTTCCGGCAGGGGTTGAAAGATCGGCGTGCACGCCTTGGCGCCGAAACTTGCCATCGTCCTCTGCAGGGGCGTCAAGGTTGCGGGGTGATTACCCACAGGCCCACATGGCGGGTGGTGCCGCAATGTCATGCAGCCGCATGCTTCGCTGACCCACCCTCGCTGCGGTTGTGATCCTTTTCGATGCCCCCGAGCATCGACCCAGTTATACGAGTAGGTTATCACTTACTTGAACGGGAAAGGCCAAGCCGTTGGAAATTAACAGGCAAAGTTAGCAAATTCCCGACCCGGTCGCCAACCCGACCGTCGCCCGGTGCCTAGTCTTCTGTTTTAATACGGTATGGCGACCTGCTGCCCGCACTGAACCCTAAGATGCATCTCCCTACTCATGGTCGCTGGCCGCGATATGGGTCCAACAACTGCTGACCACACAGCGCCGGGAACCCTATACCCCAGTTGCAAGGAGTGAGACATTCGACGGCACTGCACCACCGGGAAACGTAGACAATCCCGCGCTGTGGTCGATAGGGCGTTCATCGTAGCGATGTAAATCGTAAATTTACGGCGGGGGATGGCGGGAAGGGGTCGTAAATAGTATCTAGATCTCTTATGGAATGAAACAACAGGCTTCCCAGCGTATTTTCCCTGTCATGGTCAGTTCGGGGCGATTCGACCGAAGGACTTCCTCTTTTACTCGTAGACTACCACACACTACACACGGTGGTAGCACAGACGAGAAAGACGCTAAGCACCATATTGCGTTCTACTATGATACCAAAGGTATGTGATTCGGGATCTACCATCAGAGATTATATGCGGAGCCCTCAACTGAGACAACAACGCTGGGGTGCGCATTGGTGTATGGATTCAACACCGAAGACACATTGGATTTACCTGGAGGTCTCACTTTTCGTCGCCCCGTTGCGCTCCGGAAGTGTGCCTCGAGCCCCGTCCACTCAGCTGGAGTGTCAACCCACACCTCCCGGGCGTATCTGTCCATCGGCTCAGACTTCCATATTCCAGCTGACAGAGACTCCCTGAAGTCGTCGAATGTGCGGAGTACACGGTCGTGGCTTGCCAGGCTGCTTAAGTAGACTTGGAAAAACAGATCGGCAAACTCTCGTTGGCCTTCAGACGCCAGGACGGATAGGATTGCAACCCAGGTATCGAGTCGCATAGAGCGTAGCATGTTCCATGCGGCTGAGTTGTGAATATGTCGACGCATTGTCGTGAGGACGATGGGTAAGGGCGGCGAAACTGCCTGTTTATTCCGGCAAAGAAGAGCGAGGTAAGTCAGCAGGCAAAGGCACACAATGCACTCGACCGAGTTGGCAGTTGACTCGTTTCCCAGGATCCACCGGACACAGCTATCGATCATGATGGAAAAGAGGTCTTGTAGGTCGAGGGCGTCCCAGCCATAGCTGACAGGCGACGTTATCCAGGCTTCAATATCCTGGTTTAAGCACTCCGCACTTTTTATGATATCAACCAATTCCACATCAAAGCCCAGCCTGCGGCATGTGGATGATAGTGGAAAGGCCACGATATAGAACTGAGATGATGCAGGATAGTTGTAGAGTCGGCCCAGTAGACCGTTTGGCAGCAAGTAGGGTGTTTCGAATGACGCAACCCCTTGGACCGCGGAATGTCTGGCATCGGAGAGGGATGATTAGCGACTTATCACATCACCAAGGTTCCACACAGGTGTGCTGTGAGAGGCCGTAGTCAGCTGCAGAAGGAAAGTTAGGAAAACTTACCGCAGTAAGAAGGATCTCAAAGTCTTGGCATTGCTCATCGAGCCTAATCCTCCGCGTAACCCGATCATGTCTCGAAGGCCACGCATATGAGATCGCATTGCGGTCTCGTCAGGCCGCAGGTGTGTGCCAGCAAGATGTGCGAAGGATGGAAGCAGCAAGTTTTCTTCGACGCATAAAAGATTGAACACAGCGGCAAGGTTATTGTCGCTAAGAGCAGCCAGCGGATCCTCAAGATTCTGCTGTATTGCGACGACAGCCCGAACTCGGTGAAATATGGCCAGCAATATATATTCAGGAGAGTTCGGCCGCAATATACTAAGTTGCACTGCTGTAAGGCACAGTATGGCGTGCATGAAGGCAGCATGAGCAAACGATGGAGCTAACCATTGAAGCTGAACCACGTTAGGTTGCAGTATAGCCGCTATAGGGGTAATCTGGGGCGCAATGACGGTTTTAACTAAAGAATATAGTCAGCGAAACACTTAACGCTAACGAGAGCGATACGTCCGAAGACACACAATAGGAGAGAAGAACGCAGGTTCTGGTATCCAGGTTCACCGCGAAGCTGTTGAATGGATCCATTCCTGAGATTGAACGTGACACGAACGACATTGCACACCCTGTGCCTATCTGGCACATCATACACAGTCCCTTGGCGGTTGCTGGTATGCTGACAGCACCACGCGTGCGATGAGGCTGGTCGCACAGCATACACTTCCCCGTGTCATTGTTACGGGGTTCACGTAGCGCTTCTGCGACCTCTTTGTTGCCCACGAGGCCACCAGTCCCCTTGTTAGCAATTGACTTGTATAGATGAGCCAGGAGCTCCGTACCTCTGCCAAGCTGATCTGTCCCGAGTTGGACAGTTGCGGCATCGGACGCCCTAGCGCCCTGCTTGCCAAAGCCGCTCCGTCTGCGGTCGACCAACTTCAGGGTTTTGGTTGACCATGGCTTCTGATTACGGACCTTCCGCATAACAAAGGCCCTTGCTGTGCTGCTAGAGCCCTCATCACCGGACGGCAGGGAGTTCCAGGGGTTAACGAAGTGAAATCGTTTTGACGACATTGAGAGCAATCTTCACGTTCAACCTTCAGTCCGCGTCATTAGTTTGACCGTTCACACCAATACCTGGATACTCGGTAGTCAGCAAAAGAATCATCAGAGCATTACCCGAATGAGAAGTACCCTATGGGCCGACAACATGAATCGTTCAGCCTTTAACGCATTCAAGGATTTTTCACCGGCGAAGGGCGATGATCCCAGTAGAATCCCGCCCAGTGAGATCTGGAGCGTTCAGAAAACTGCTGGTGCCTGAGGCACCACTCACAAGCGTATTGTACTTCGATTCGGGTGATGGCTTTGGTCCCATTTGCGTATCGTTACGGCAGACGAAGAAGACGACAGAAACGATGACGGCTGCTTCGAAAGGCGGTCAGAGGCCCACACAGTGAACTCAATTCTGACCGTCGCGAACTGGACCAAGAAGATGACAAGACCCGGCCGACTTACCGCGGCATTCTTCTTGAACCAGGCAGCCTCACACTCCGCAGCGGGTTGCTTGGAGAGATAATTGGTTCCCGATCCTGTAAATAGTCCAATCCACTGGATAAATGCAGGCCTGAGTACCAATACCACTACCGATATGTCTGGCATTAAGAGCGCCCGACCGAAAATGATGGCTGTAGATGCCGAGCGGTGGGCCGTGCACTCCACGTACTTGTACGTTAGAGTTGAAATCCTACATGGCGTGTACATTAGTCCAGTCACAGCTATGCCCGTAGAGCGGGGTCCGGCTGTCAGCTGACGCGTGAACTCATGAAGCCACCCGTCCCACCTGGCCGATGTCACTCTAGTCACTGACTGATACACCTTGATTTGCCCTCGAACTGCCACTAACGGCTGCTGGGTACGGCGGTCTTCTACTATGATGCGACAATTTCATTTGATCAACCGTCATGATCGTCGCCGACAAGGAACAAAAACTTGCTGTTACTCAGTCAGTAAACTAATATTGGAGGAAATGGTCGATGTGGAACATGAAGCCTGAACATGAAGCTGGATCCCGAAGCATTAACACGGGAGTACTTCGTGCAAGCTCGGGTATTCGGCGACATGCCCTGGCCTAAGTGGGGCGACGGGATGATGTCAGGGGGGTGTGGAGCTGCTTCTCGAAGACGGGCAACTTTTTGCGCCGCATGCAACCATTACGCTAAAAGTTGCCGTGGCGGTGAGTTACGGAGTGAGGACTTATGTCCGGCAGTTTGCTTGCATCCGATTGAACCGAATCTTGAATCACATAAAGCGCAAAAAGTTGCTGATATAACGTGATAGCTTCACTAATGTTTTGAGCTAACCAAGTGCTGCAATCAAACCATTAGCAGAAGTCACCCCATACTCGCTTCGTCCTGCTGTTGATACATAAACGATTATCGTCCAGTCTCCATATCTCACCTACAAGACAAAGGCTTGCATCTTCCCGCTATGTATTCCACGACCCATTCGGGGTTTTGCTAAGACCGCTCCATCGGTTGATCGATGCAGCAGCGACAGCCATGTCTTGGACTGAAGAGCAGTGCACTGTCATCGATATGTCCTTGCCCTTCGTATCAACCTTTCTTTCGACGTCGTCGCCCTCCGCGGAGTCGAACAATTACACACCGCCGCAGGTCGCTGCTCTACATGTAATTCCCCTTCGTCACTCATCCTCCATCTAACATCACCACACCACATTCGGGTTCTCCCTCAGCCGTGTTCTTCATCTCCCGACCGGGCTTGCAGAGCCGTTGTCTTGGGTACACTTTTGAAGTGGATCCAGGGGCTAGGCTTGTGGCAAACCGGCGCGTAACCACGGCTTCTTTCCCAAGCCTCGTTACCGATGTCGCTTGATTTCGACCCACCGTCATGCGCACGAGCGTCGCATCCGTTTCACTAGATACATACACTGACTATGGTCCGTCACGAGTAGGACTTTTCCGAAATGTCCTCCGTTATGGACCCTTTCTATCTCTGCGATACATCTGCAGCCCTCGACGGCGGCAGTGTCAATCGCGACTTTAGAGGGCCGCTGTTCTCGGCAAACCCGTCCACCGTTGCAGCCAGTTATCCCTACTCTCAACATCATAAGCACTTGCAGCACCAACAGGCTGAGCGCGTGGTTCATCAACCCCAACTTGCCGACCCGACGTGCAGTAGCCCGGACGAAATCACGAAGACAGACGCGGGTGCCGACAGTTGCAATAATATGCGGAATGCCAGGGACAAGAGCAATTTGCCACTCATCAAGTTAAAGAGAAGAGCACAAAATCGAGCAGCGTACGTTCTCCGGGTCTCCTACTTCCGAGTATCCACCTGTGCGGCGAGAGCCAGGCTTCATAGCAGTCCTCCAAGAATGTTGTGGAAGCTGCCTTTGTGCATGCGCTGAGACTCTGAGAGATAGTCAGCAAACGTACCGGGATAGAAGAGCAAAGCACGTCAAGGACCTGGAAACCAAGCTTGCCACCCTCCACGCCGCCCAAGAGGATGTGTTGGTTGAGAACCAACGACTCAGGCAGGAAGTTCGGGATTTGTCGAGCAAGATAGAGATTCTGGGTGCAACTTCTACCAAGGCTAAAGGTGATTTAGGCTCAGATGTCACAAGGTCTTCGACGACCACTGGTGGGACCTCTACCCCGAGCCAAAACTGTCTGACCGACTTGAGCTCCGATGACAGGCAACGCCACTACAAAGACCATCCTTACTGCCGCAGAACTGCACCAATACCAGCAGATCGGTTGCTTCAGCCCGGGTCAACTTGGGACTTTATCGTCTCTCATGACCTCTTTCAACGCCGACTTGTTGATGTATGCAGGGTAGCCGAGCTCCTCGTCAGCTGCGCTCGCCGAGATGGCCAACATTCTGGCTTTCCAGTGGCGGAGATAGTCAATGCTATAGAGCATAGCATAGCAGCCAGCTCGGACGACTTATTATAGACGCTGTCGTTGTCAGCATCCGCTCAGCGTGGACATTTATACGTATGTCGACACATTTTGTTAGTCGACTTTATATCAGGCCATCCGTTAATTTCACTCTCTGCCTAGGGGGGTAGCTGTTACTGTCGCCAAGGCACAGCACTACGTGTGTTTACAGAACCCGCACGATGCAATGCAGCTCCAGGAGGTTCTTGCTCCTCAGATACTCCTTACCAATTGACTTATGCCAAACACGGGCTTCGTTGACCAAATCGTCTGACACTTTATCCCTCAGTGCATTCGTCAGAGCATGCATCACTTAATTACCCGATCGTTAGGGTGCGGTTGTCGACACTGCGACACTCGTTGCCATCGGTTGACGTGATTAGCACTTGGCGCCGTTGTGGAACGCTCAGACGACCCCCGAAGTTCCGAACCATGGTCTGCGGCTTTGCGCTCTAACACAGTAACACTCCTCCCACAAGCCATGGCTGCATGGAAGTCTCCGCCCAGTCGCAAGCTCTTCCCCGAGGAACTCCAGCGGGATGCCCGACTTACTCCATCACGCGTCAATTACGTCCCTGCCCATCCGAGTATCCGACGTACCTTGCGATCGGAGAACAAAGAGCGAGGGCGAGTTGGTATGTGCTGGGCATTCCGATCGCTCTCACGCGTCGCAGTGTGCGGGCCCTCCGGGGCTGCCAGGGTTAAGCCATGTGGCCTACAAGCCTTACGTGCTTCAACACTTCGACACTGCACGCGCCACACCCCGCACCGTGGCACCGCCTCAACGTCACAATTGCATCAGGGGCAACAAGCAGAATGCTGGAGATTGCGGCGTTGCAGCGCCAGCTCCAGAGGACATGCGTAATGCAGGTCCGAAGCCGTGAACAGGGCTGACCTAGAAGAGGCTTGTTTGGAAGCTGCGCAGAGACTGCCGCTTGCTGCCTGCCGGTGAATTATCGCCTCACATTCGCCACGTTCAACTGCGTCGACGGCGCGGCTGATGCCCCACTTACGGCCGGGAGGGGGTGGTCGCCCCGTCAGAATTTCCGAAATACGGGCAGCTTTCGCCCCCAACAATTCTCACACTTCTCCAGTTATCGCCATGGGCAGCAGATTTCGGACAGATAAAACTGCCCGCGGGCGTCAGTCCAAATCTCCAACGCTCAGGTAGACAATAGACAGCCCGTGATCTTGGGCATGACTGGTACCCCGGGCTCCACAGCCGTTCGCCCGCTAAAGCGGTGTTGGAACTGCCGAGGTGAGCGACACTCATATGTCTCAAGCTTTCATCGTATCTAAATCCGCTGCAAAGCCCGCAAAAAGTCCTGCGACAGGGCGCAGCCATCCTGCGGTACCTGTTTGCGGAAAGACGAAGAGTGTCTAGGGTATGGCTTGCAGTTATCATGGCCCAGCGCAGCCAACAGCCGGCGTGCTGCTACGAGCTGCCGAACCCACCTGTTGGATGGGGACTATTCCAACGTGGACTTCATCAACACTTTAAGCAATGACATTGCCAGATTCTATGGCGTAAAAGTTGCTAAGGAAGCCTTTGCGAACGTCATCCTTCGGCATTCGCCATACCTATGGTCGCAACAGCCTGCTGTCGCCAAGGGGCTGGAGCTAGTCTCCATGAGCGCCGAGACCTTTGCCCCATTTCTGGTGTCAAACGGTATGGCAGTGAACAGTCTTAACAAGCAACGTTTGTGCTTACTTAAATCCTCTTTAGAGCACAGCCCTGTCTCACGGCTCGTATCCTGCAACTCAAGAGACCTATATGGTCTGCTGGTGAGGATGTCTCTGAGCAATGAGACGGCTCCGTCACTTGCTACGCGCCACGCAATAGCTGCATTGTGTTTTCAGCATCGGGGTATGGATGGTGTGGCTTTATCACACCAGACCCTAGCGATAAGGTCTCTTCAAGTGGCTCTCAACGATCCACTCGGGCCAACCGAAGCATTACAATCTCTGGCCGCCAGCAGACTCCTGAACATCTTCGAGGTTAGCTCCTACGACGTTCATGCCGTTACTCTTATTTCAGCTGACATGGGCCGTAGACCGTCAACGTCAATGCATCTGCCCAGAGTTGGGCATCATTCTTCTGTGGCACGAAGGAGCTTGCTAGAGTCGTCCACGAGTCAATAGGCTTTTCGGATACGGAGTGCAAAATGCTGCTGGATTGGTCCTATTATTGCGATATAATGTATAAGTTCAGCATCCGGCACTGGAGGGGACCACCCGCAGCTGGCAGTCTAATACAATGCCGAAAACTCCATCAGCTGAAAACTTCGGCTATCGTCGTTGCGTCGCCATCAAGACATCATGTGAGTTACATTAGACCTAGCACCTCATCTTTCGGTAGGAACTTCCTGACCTTGTCTAGACTGTTAATTACCTTGGTTACTGTTCAAGTGAACTCCTTGGCATCATTGG